ATGGCAGTCTTATTTATAGTTACCAAAAATGGGAAACAACCAAATGAACTGGGGAATGAATACAGCAACTATTGTATATCTATACACTGGAATACCACCAAGCAACAAAAAGTAATTACTGATACATAAAAACACATGGATGAATCTCAAAATACATTAGGTTAAATAACAGATGTCAGTCTCAGTAGGCCACATACTGAGCCAGGCAGGAGGATTCCTTGAGATAAGGAGCTTCAGGCAAGCACACGCAATAAAACAAGACCTCCCATTTCTATTCAACCAATAAAAATTAAAACAAAAAGGTTAAACACTGCATGATTTCGTTTACATGGAATTTTGAAAAAAAAAAAAAAAAAAAAACAGAGAAAATACAGATCAGTGGTTGCCAGAGAGTAAAGGTGAAGAAATGGGCTGACTATAGAAAGGGTCATGAGGGGCCGGGCACGGTGGCTCAAGCCTGTAATCCCAGCACTTTGGGAGGCCGAGGCAGGTGGATCATGAGGTCAAGAGATCGAGACCATCCTGGTCAACAAGGTGAAACCCCATCTCTACTAAAAATACAAAAAATTAGCTGGGCATGGTGGCGCGTGCCTGTAGTCCCAGCTACTCAGGAGGCTGAGGCAGGAGAATTGCCTGACCCAGGAGGCGGAGGTTGGGGTGAGCCGAGATTGCGCCATTGCACTCCAGCCTGGGTAACAAGAGCGAAACTCAGTCTCAAAAAAAAGAAAGGGTCATGAGGAAACTTTTTTGAGGAACTACTCTATATCTTGATCCTCATGGTGGTTGCACAACTAGAAGTGTTTCCCAACCTCACAGAACCATATTCAATATACCTTAACGAAAATAATTTTCAACCATACATGATAGAACCTTTATTGCTCTAATAGCAAGACCAAAGAGATGTTGCTTAAACCACTGATGCCTTGGTCCGATCTGCCTCCAACTTTGAAAACTCCCTTCCATTAACATTTTGCCTAAAAATTAAACAGCATTTGTAAGTTAGTCACAAATCCTTTGAGATCAAAATACACACATATTTTTAAAGAAAACTACCTAGTGCTTGCATCCATGTCATTTTTGGAGAAAATAACCTTTGTTAAGAAGGGAATAAAATCCAAGTAATAAATACTGATCAGTCTTTTCCAGAATCATGATGGTCAAAACAATGAGACTCTTCTCCTAATTTTGGTCCAAATACCAAAATTTTTACTGCAAAAACTCTCTAACAGATTATTATAAAATCTTAACATTTGCCTAAAAGTCTTTAAGTGCTTTCACTTAACTAGGCAGTATAAACAAAAAAGAGCACAAGCTTAGGCAGAACACAATGGCTCACACTTGTAATCCCAGCATTTCTGGAGGCCAAGGCGGGGAAATCACTTGAGTCCAGCAGTTTGAGACCAGTCTGGGCAATGCAGCAAAACTCCATCTCTTCAAAATACACAAAAAAGGCCGGGCGCGGTGGCTCAAGCCTGTAATCCCAGCACTTTGGGAGGCCGAGGCGGGTGGATCACAAGGTCAAGAGATCAAGACCATCCTGGCAAACATGGTGAAACTCCGTCTCTACTAAAAATACCAAAATTAGCTGGTGGTGGCATGCACCTGTAGTCCCAGCTACTCGGGAGGCTGAGGCAGGAGAATTGCTTGAACCTGGGAGGTAGAGGTTGCAATGAGCCGAGATTGTGCCACTGCACTCCAGCTTGGCGCCTGGCTACAGAGTGAGACTCTGTCTCAAAAAAAATACACAACAAAAATTAGTAGGGTGTGGTGGCACACACCTGCAGTTCCAGCTACTTGGGGGAATGAAGCAGGAGGATGATTTGAGCCTTGGAAGCAGAGGCTGCAGTGTGCCAAGATCACGCCACTCACTCCAGCTTGGGTGAGATCAGAGTGAGACCCTTTCTCAAAAAAAATTTTTTTTAAAGCACAGGCTCAAGATCTCAACTCACCTAGGCAAGTTATTTAACCTAATTTTGCCTCAATTGTCTCATCAGTAAAATTGGAATAATTTCACCACCCTCTGTGAATAGTCCTAGACTATCAAATGAGTTAATATATGTATTATAATAAATCACAGGGTGATAACTGGCATAGTTAATTAAGCCTCAGTATTAACCTAATATAAATAATGATATCAATAATCACCAGCTATGTAGTCTTTGTATACCACAATTCTGCTCTGTAAGGTAAATGGCCTAAATTCAATGGTCTAAATAAAGAGCTATCTAGTAATACTATTCTATATTCCTATTATTTTACCTGAATTGCACCTACCTAGTTCAGTTTTCAAAAGAAAAATTAAGTATTATACTTCTTATATAAAAAAATGTGAGGTCTAAATAAGTTAAATGACTTATTCAAAGAAACAGTAATGTGAAGGCAGAGCCAAGATGAGGATTCGGTATTCTGAGATTCCTTAAAACTTTGTCCTCTCCAAAACTTTTAGCCCTCCACCAACTCCTTCCCTCCTAACAAAGACACAGGTATAATGCACCCAAAACAACTCCAATTCAATAATTTTAAAATTTCGTTAAGCTATACATTTGATTTGTGCACTATTCTGTATATTTGTTTTATATCATAATAGAAAGGCTAAATGGCTTATCATTAAGTGTATTCATATACGAAGCACAAAGTAGTGGAAAAGTTACATCAAAAGCTACAAGGAGACAAACTCAGCAGATTATGTTCTCTAAACTTCTGTGAGAGGCAGAACTTTTTAACTGAGGTATAACATACATACAAAGAAGTGCACACTTCCAAAGTCTACTACTCAATGAGTCTCATAAACAGAACACAACCATAAAATCATGACCCAGATAGAGACACAGAACATTACTAGCACACCTAGAATCTCCCTTGTCCTCACCACCAAAGATAACCATTATTCTGATTTCCATTCCCATCTGTCAGTTTTGTCTGTTTTTGAAGCTTTACAGAAACAGAGTGCTCGCTTCAGCAGCAAATACACTAAAACTGGAACAACACAAGAAGATTAGCATGGTCCCAGCACAAGGATGGCATGCAAATTGGTGAGGCGTCCCATCTTTTTTTATTATTACAGTAGTCTGTATTATTTAACATAAAAGAAAGATCAATATGAAAAATGGGATGAACTAATCAACAATGTAATTTAAAGACAACAGCATTATTTGCCTGGGAAACTAAAGACAAAACAACTGAAAAATTATTAAAACTGTGGAAGGAGTCAATTTGCTGCTTATGGAATAAACATATACTGTAATCACAACGACATATACTATATACTATAGAATTAAAATAACATTTCTGGCTGGGCACAGTGGCTCACGCCTGTAATCCCAGCACTCTGGGAGGCCAAAGTGGGAGGATCACTTGAGCTCAGGAGTTCAAGAGCAGCGAGGGCAACATGGTGAAATTTCCAAAGAATAGGACTAACTCCACATGTAGCAGCTACATGTGGACAAGTATGAGTGTTTCCTGATTAAATAACCTAAGTGTCATCCCCATGAATGTATGTATACAAGTTTGTTGAATTGAAGGCTCCTCCAACTCCACTGGAGATAAATGCTATAAATGTAAGTAATACAAGAAACTCTCATCCAAATTAACTCACGTAAAACAAAAACAAAACAAGAAAAATTTGCCACATCAAGGAAGTCAAGGAAATGTTATAAAGTGTGTTAACTATTGTCTTTACCAGTGACGCATTTATAAAGTGGATCTGAACTATAAATTACTACTACTTACTTGCATTTAAAAAAAAAGGATGTGAAATATTTTTGTAAATTTTCTTTCATTTTTTTAAGATGGAGTTTCACTCTTGTTACCCAGGCTGGAGTGCAATGGCGCGATCTCAGCTCACGGCAACCTCCGCCTCCTGGGTTCAGGCAATTCTCCTGCCTTAGCCTTCTGATTAGCTGGGACTACAGGCACGCGTCACCATGCCCAGTTAATTTTGGTATTTTTAGTAGAGACGGGGTTTCACCTTGTTGACCAGGATGGTCTCGATCTCTTGGCCTCCCGAAGTGCTGGGAGTACAGGCATGAGCCACCAAGCCTGACCCTGTAAATTTTCTTTACCCAAAGGTTCACTGCAGCCACAACAAAATCATGTCCTTTGTAGCAACATGCATGCAGCTGGAGATCAGCATCCTAAGCTAATCACACTGGGTAAACATGGGAACAATACATACAGGAAACCACAGAGAGGAAAGGATGGGAAGAAGTGAGGGTTCAAAACTACCTACTGGGTGCTGGATACAGTGGCTCACGCCTATAATCCCAGCACTGTGCGAGGCCGAGGTGGGCAGATTGTTTGAATCCAGGAGTTTAAGACCAGCCTGGGTAACAGGGAGAAACCCAGTCCGTACAGAAAACACAAAACAATTAGCAGGGCATGGTGGTGCATGCTTGTAGTCCCAGCTACTCAGGAGGCTGAGGCAAGAGAACTGCTTGAAACCAGAAGACGGAAGTTGCAGTTAGCTGAGATTGCACCACTGCACTCCAGCCTGGTGATAGAGCAAGACTCTGTCTCAAATTAAAAAAAAAATATTAGCAAGGCATGGTGGCCCACCACTATAGTCCCAGCTACCCAGGAGACTGAGCTGGGAGGATAAGCTGAGCCCAAGAGATCAAAACTACAGTGACCAGTGATCATAACACTATACTCCCAGCCTGGGGGAACAGAGACATACCCTGTCTCAAAAAAATTAAACAAAACTACCTACTGGGTGCTATGCTTACTACCTGGGTGGTGGGATCAATTGTACCCTAAACCTCATGCAATATAGCCGTGTAACAAACCTGTACACTATTATCATTGGGAGAAAAAGAGAGAAAATACATGGTGCTAATTTAGAACCATACAAATAGTTTGACCCCATTTGAGGAAACATTTTGCATTTGTGTATTTGTTGAAAACAACTATCAATAAAAGACTATAATTGTGTCCTGTTCATTCATATGACTGACTACTACACAGCTATTAAAATAAATGAAGGCAGGTGCAGTGGCTCATACCTGTAATCCCAGCCATTTGGGAGGCTGAGGCTTGAGAATCACTTGCACCTGGGAGGCAGAGGTTGCAGTGAGGCAAGACTGTGCCCCTGCACTTCGGCCTGGGTGACAGAACAAGACTCTGTTTCAAAAATATTGATAATAATAATACTATATCAACATAAATAAATGTCATTTTTCAAATTATAGAATACATATCATACACATTCTAAAATATATGTATTTGAAACATAATAATACTACATGTTAAATATATAGAGATATTCGTAGGAAGAATACAAGTACATGGGCTAAAAAGATAAATAACTTCTGCATAATAGGATCTAAGAGGATGACAAAAGGGACTCCAACTGTATACGTATTTTAATTATTTTTTTTTGAGACAAAATTTCACTCTTGTTGCCCAGGCTGGAGTACAATGGCATGATTTTGGCTCACTGCAATCTCCGCCTCCTGGGTTCGAGCGATTCTGTTGCCTCAGCCTCGCAAATAGCTGGGATCACAGGCATGCACCACCGGGCTGGGCTAATTTTGTATTTTTAGTAAAGATGGAGTTTCTCCATGTTGGTCAGACTGGTCTTGAACTCCCAATCTCAGGTGATCTGCCCGCCTCGGCCTCTCGAAGTACTAGGTTTACAGGCATGAGCCGGTGTATGCCTGGTCGCATATTTAAATGTCTAAAAACAAATATAGGCCAGGTACAGTGGCTCACCCCTGTAATCCCAGCACTTTGTGGGGCCAAGATGGGCAGATCACTTGAGGTCAGTTCAAGACCAGCCTGGCCAACATGGTGAAACAAAGGTGAAAAAGCTTGATATGTGGGTGCCTCATGAGCTCACAGAAAATTTAAAAAGTTGTTGTTTTGAAGTGTTGTCTTCTCATTCTTTGTAATGATGACAAACCAGTTTTTGATCAGATTGTGACGTGAGACAAAAGTGGATTTTACACGAAAACAGTGAAGATCAGCTCAGTGGTTGGACCACGAAGACACTCCGAAGCACTTCTCAAAGCCAAACTTGCAACAAAAAGAGGTCATGGTCACTGTTTGGTGGTCTGCTGCCGGTCTGATCCACTACAGCTTTCTGAATCCTGGCAAAATCAACACATCTGGGAAGGATGCTCAGCAAATCGATGAGATGCACCGAAAACTGCCTGCAACACCTGCAGCCGGCACTGGTCCACAGAAAGGGCCCAATTCTTCTCCACAACAACACCCGACCCCACATTGCACAACCAACACTTCAAAAGTTGAATGAACTGGGCTACGAAGTTTTGCCTCATCCATCATATTCAACTGATCTCTCGCCAACTGACTACCACTTTTCCAAGCATCTAGAAAAATTTTTGCAGGGAAAATGCTTCCACAACCAGCTATATGCATAAAACGCTTTCCAAGAGTTCATCAAATTCCAAAGCACAGATTTTTACACCACAAGAATAAACAAACTTATTCTCGTTGGCAAAAATGTGTTGATTGGAATGGTTCCTATTTTGATTAATAAAGATGTGTTTGGGCCTAGTTGAAATAATTTAGAATTTGCAATCTGAAATCATGATTAATTTTGCACCTACCTACATTTATTACCTCAACTGATCCTCAAATTTTTTTTTTTTTTTTTTTTTGAGATGGAGTCTCCCTCTGTCACCCAGGCTGTACAGTGGCACAATCTTGGCTCACTGCAACCTCCGCCTCCTAAGTTCAAGCAATTCTCCTGCCTCAGCCTCCTGAGTAGCTGGGATAACAGATGCTTTATACCAAGCCCAGCTAATTTTCCTATTTTAGAAAAATGGTAGAGACAGGGTTTCACCATGTTGGCCAGGCTGGTCTCAAACCCCTGACCTCATCTGCCCATCCTGGCCTCCCAAAGTGCTGAGATTATAGGCGTGAGCTACCACGTCTGGCCTAATCTTACATTTCCTGTTCTTTAAGAGACGGGGTTTTACCATCTTGGCCAGGCTGATCTCAAAATCCTGACCTTGAGATCTGCTCGCCTCAGCCTCCCAAAGTACTGGGATTACAGGTGTGAGCCACCTCACCCAGCTATTCTTAGTCTTTAAAAGAATAAAGTAAACCCAGATAATAACAAATGTCTTAACCCAGAAATCTAACCTTTTTGAATGATGTTCTCCATCCACAGAAGCACTTAATGCACTAACTATAAGTGTGCAGTAAACAGCAAAAGCCAACAGGCGCTAATCACTTAAACTCTAGAGGATATACGGCATAGCTCTTCCTAAAATATCACCAGATGGGTATACAAACTTAGACTGGCTCAACTCCCAGCTGTATATTAACACCAAAACTCTAATGAGTCTTTACTGTCATAATAAAAATCATTTGCCTAAATATCTTCCAATCCGTATTAGATGTATTAATATAAACCATAGCCCATCTGAATTGCTACAACTCCACTTGATAGTTAAAACACACTGCAACACACACAAGCAGATACAGAACTTGGGAGTTCGAGCTGAGTTCTGTGTTTACAGAGTCCATACAAACTGCTATTTCTTAAGGTGTCTTTCATCATTCTCAATCAGCTTATAAACAGAAAAACTGGATGGCTAAGTCCTCTTGTGTTTAACTGTGATCAAATCCCAGAATGTCTTTAGTCATAGTGGAGTTCACAATGATAAAGTTCAAATCAGCTTACCTGCCCCATTCCTCCCATACTACTTCCTACAGCTGCCATTCCTCTTGAGAACTGGAGCCAGTTAACCAACCACTTTCTCAATGGTGACTGTGACTTAAACCTTCACAAGACATCCACTGAAATATAAAGACTTTAAAATATCAGGTTTTGGCTGAGCATGGTGGCTCACACCTGTAAATTTCAGCACTTTGGGAGGTAAAGTGATCACCTGAGGTCAGGGGTTCATGACCAGCCTGGCCAACAAGGTGAAACCCCATCTCTATTAACAAAACACACAAAATTAGTCAGCTGCAGTAGCTTGTGCCTGCAATCCCAGCTACTTGGAAGGCTGAATACAAGAATCACTTGAACCTAGGAGGCAGAGGCTGCAATGAGCTGAGATCACACCACTGCACTCCGGCCTGGGTCACAGAGTGAGACTCCATCTTAAACAATAAAAAATAAAATAAAATACCAGTTTTCCTTCTTATAAAATACGTAGCTTTGTGCAGTGGCAGTATCATATAGCCAATGAGGTTTATCCAAGGCGTGATTATTGCTAATTGAAAAGTAAAACATGCTCATTTTAGAAACCTGAGAAACTATAAAAGAATAAGAATCAAAAAAGTCACATTATCGCACCAAGAGAGAAATTAATCAGTACTATTATTTCCATTTCTGGACATCCAAGGTCTCCTCTATATGTAAAAGTATATTCATTCATTTACCAGACAGGATTTTAAGTACTGCAGAACAAGGGGGAAGTAGCCTACTAGTTTTTTGGAAGACTAATTTTCTTCAGTGTAAAGAAGTTACACTTACTGCTGAGTAAGTCAACCATATGTACAGGAAACTGAAGAGAGTGACAAAGATGAAGGGAATCATACTTGCTCTTTTTCATTCACTCACAGCAAACCATGGAGTCCATGTTTTGGGAACATTTTTGAGACCATTATTTCTTTATAAATAGCAGCCCACTTAATAAACAAATACGTATATACAAATATGCATAGACATATATACATACAAAACAAATATATACACAAATATACAGTCTTGCCACAGGCGTTACACAGTGAAAGGAATGACATTAAGAGTATTTTTGTCACCATTAAAGTATCTTAAGAGAAAGTAAAGGGGTATGTGAAAGGTTCATCTAAAATTCATGACTTCTTCCACAAAAATATTTTCTGTGCACATCAGCTGAAGGAACGATCTAACTATGGAAAAAGTAAGTGTTGGTTTTATAATGCTATAATTTATTTACATGTGTAAATAAATATGCAGGAGTTTAAACAGTTATTCTATAAACAGTAATAGCTTACTCTGTACCAGACACTGTATGAAGTGCTAGGGAGTAAGGGAGGGAACAGCCACCAGTCCCTACTTTTGCACAACCTTCAGTCTATCTCTTTAAATATGATGTCAAACACTAGGCATGTGGCCTCAAGGCTGATTAATGATGATCTCAAATCCTTGTGATGATCTAAGATATATGTGAAAGTAGCTTATAAATCATGTTACCTAAGGTAAAAAGGAGGGATATGTGGCCTTTTATGCAAAGCACTGTATACAGCAATCATCTTCAATATAAACTATCTCATTTCTTTTAAATGGCAAAAAAAATCATTCAAGTTGCTTAACATAATCTCTTTCACAGTCTCTAAGATTTTAATATCATCTTTCTCTGCCAATGACCCGTATGACATAACTGAAATTAATTTCCCCATAACGGGGATGAAAAGACTCAATTTTTTCTAATACAAAAAGCCTTGTTTCCTAATTTCATAACTTATGGGGGTTGAGAAGCAGGCAGCCACAAATCAAAAGCAACTTATTCAAATTCAAGAAAAAATTATGTTTTAATCTAAGAATCATCATGGAAAGTTTGTTATAGGCTCAGGTTATTCCAAATAGAGTTAGTGAAAGGTTAATTGTGTTACTTTGAGAGCAAAGGAGAGCAAGCAGCAATTATTCATCCCTTCACTCAGTCTCTAAGACCTAATCTCTTTAAAAGCAGAGAGATACATATTACTTCCAACTGCTTTCCAAAAACGTACTTTTAAAAAATATGCTCTACACAATATCAATTATTCATATTGAAAAGGAATAGACTACATTGCCTCTTACCCTATGATTCACCCTATTCAAATTCAGCCACCTCAACATACAAAAATTATCAAACTGATGCTTTAAATTTATTTTTGCCCTTATTGCAGATATTGCAGATATGACTCTCAAGAGCATGGAACTTGTTTTTTTTTTTTTTTTTTGAGATGGAATCTCACTCTGTCACCAGGCTGGAATGCAGTGGCACAATCTTGGCTCACTGCAACCTCTGTCTCCCGGGTTCAAGCAATTATCCTGCTCAGCCTCCCAAGCAGCTGGGACTACAGGTGCATGGCACCATGCCCAGTTGATTTTTTTGTATTTTTGTTTGTCTGTTTTTGAGATGGGGGTTTCTCCATGTTGGTCGGGCTGCTCTCAAACTCCCCCTGCTTCTGCCTCCCAAAATGCTGGGATTACAGGTGTGAGCCACCACCTGCCAATTTTTTGTATTTTAGTTTCACCATGTTAGCCAGGATAGTCTCGATCTCCTGACCTTGTGATCCGCCACCTCAGCCTCCCAAAGTGCATGAGTCACCGCACCCAGCCTCACATGAACCAGTTTAAAGGCATTCATAATCCAACTAAACTGGGCCACCTGCAAAACTAGTGAAATGCCTAAAACAAGCATCTATAAATGCCCAATATTAAACCTTAAGAGTCTAAAGCATTAGCAGCCAAAGCAAGTATAACATACCTCTAGGAGACCAGGCACGATGGCTTACAACTATAATCCCAGCACTTTGGGAGGCCAATGCGGGCAGATCACTTGAGGCCAGGAGTTCCAGACTAGCCTGGCTAACGTGGCAAAATCCTGTATCTACTAAAAAAATACAAAAATTAGCCAGGTATGGTGGCACACACCTGTAATCCCAACTACTTGAGTGGCTGAGGCACAAAAATCACATGAACCCAGGAGATGGAGGTTGCAGTGAGCCAAGATTGCACCACTGCACTTCAGCCCGGGTAACAGAGCAAGACTCTAGCCTCAAAAATATATATGCATTTTCTACACACACACACACGGAGACACACACAGACACACACAGGCACACACACACACGCACACACACACACACCTCCAGGAGTACCCAAGATGCCTCAAGGTAAAAAAAAAAAGTAATCCCAACTACTTGAGTGGCTGAGGCACAAAAAATCACATGAACCCAGGAGATGGAGGTTGCAGTGAGCCAAGATTGCACCACTGCACTTCAGCCCGGGTAACAGAGCAAGACTCTAGCCTCAAAAATATATATGCATTTTCTACACACACACACACACGGAGAACACACACAGACACACACAGGCACACACACACACGCACACACACACACACCTCCAGGAGTACCCAAGATGCCTCAAGGTAAAAAAAAAAAACAACTTAACTTCATTTTTAATTATCATCCTTGTTAATTTTTTGTTTGCATTTTATAAAGTTCACAATAATCAGTTACTATGTTTACTCTCTGCAAATTAAATATCTAAGGATGAAGAATTAATGCTCAAAAGGCCGGGTACAGTGGCTCATGCCTGTAATCTCAACACTTTGGGAGACCAAGGCAGATCACAAGGTCAGGAGTCCGACACCAGCCTGGCCAAGGTGGTAAAACCCCGTCTCTACTAAAAATACAAAAAAATTAGCTGGGCATGGTGGCACAAACCTGTAGTCCCAGCTACTCAGGTGAAGCAGAAGAATCGCCTGAACCCAGGAGGCGGAGGCTGCAATGAGCCAAGATCAACCACTGTATTCCAGCCTGGGCAACAAAGTGAGGCTCCATCACACACACAAAAAAAAATTGATGCTCAATTTTTTTTTTTTTTTCTCTTTTTTCAAAGCGGCAACATAAAGCGGTAACAATTTTTTTTCCTAACTTCATTCTTCCATCCCATCAGTTTTTGTTTGCTTTTTTAAAGAAACAGGGTCTCACTATGGTTGCCCAGGCTGGAGTACAGTGACTATATTCATAAGCACAATCACAGTGAACCGTAGCCTTGAATTCTTGGCCTCAAAAATCCTCCTGCCTCAGCCAACCAAGTAACTGGGACCATAGGACCATGTACTGAACCTGCTTAATGCTCAAATTTTTAGTGATGGGGTAAGAAACCAAAAGTTTGAAGACCACTGGTCTACCCTACTCCCTTGTCCACTGAACTTTCATTTTTGTCCGCTCCCTCCCCAGAGTTAAGCTATGGAGGTAAGTCCTGATGCTGAAAAGGAAACAGAAGAAAAGCTGTTTCAAACTATTTTAAACTCCCAACAACAAGCTAAACATGAAAAATCACTAGCAAGAAATACATGGAATTGAATACTACTATGCTGTTAATGGGAATTTCAAATAGACATTCTATCTATAGGGCACCTTGAGTATGTTCAGATTTAAAACACATATACCCTCTGATCCAATAAGCCCACTTTTTTTTTCTTTTGAGACTGAGTCTCACTCTGTTACCCAGGCTGGAGTGCAGTGGCTTGATCTTACCTCACTGCAACCTCCATCTCCCAGGCTCAAATGATTCTCCATACCTCAGTCTTCCAAGTAGCTGAATTACAGACCCCCACCACCACATCCAACTAATTTTTATATTTTTAGTAGAGATGGAGTTTCACCATGTTAGCCAGGCTGGTCTTGAACACCTGATCTCAGGTGATCCGCCCACCTTGGCCTCCCAACCTGCTGGAATTACAGGCATGAGCCACCATGCCCAGCTAATAAACCTACTCTTAAGAATTTATTCTGGGCCAGGTGCAGTGGCTCATGCCTGTAATCCCAGCACTTTGGGAGGCCGAGGCGGGTGGATCATGAGGTCAGGAGAATCCTGTCTCTACTAAAAAATAAAAAAATATTAGCCAGGCATGGTGGCTCGCGCCTGTAGTCCCAAGTACTTAGGAGGCTGAGGCAGGAGAATCGCTTGAACTTGGAAGGCAGAGGCTGCAGGGAGCCAAGATCATGCCACTGCACTCCAGCCTGGGCTACGGAGCAAGACTCTGTTTCAAAAAAAAAGAGAAAAAGTTCTATAGCTTTCATAATCAGATAGAGTTTCATTTTGAAATTTAAAAAATGAGATTAAGTTAAAATTTTAAATTATTGTTTTATATCCCTTCTAAAACTTGTTATAAACAGTGTCTTCTTGTGTCATTTGTAGAATAAAAATCTAAATACTTAATTACATATTTGGTTTATCTCATGTAAAAATGATAGGCATCGAATAAATAACAACCCTATTTCAAGTTAACACCTTGTCTTTATACCAATTCTTGCCAGTTACGTCATGATTTATCAATATACTTATAATTTCCTTACGCTTTTCCAGATTATAAATCTATGAATAATTCTGAAACAAAACAAGTTTCTATTCCTTTTCTGCAACTAAGTTACAAAAGTATTAACTACCGAAGAATTAGATTTAGACCCAGATAGGTGAAATCAGAAAAGCTTGCTACCAACTGTCATAACAGAATCATTCTGAAT